CATAACACATTGATTATTATTTTAATGATAAATGGTTATTAGAATATATACACAGAAAATGAATAATTCATTTTAAAATCATAACAATGTTAAGTGATTTTGTCTAATAAGATTAAATCAAAAATTAAAATTTATAATAAAATATAAAAAGTAGCTATTCCAATTATTTTTGCCAATCATTATGAGTTTAGTGTTTTTTATGTGTTTCCATTTCTAAAATTAACCATAAATTGAAAAAGAAATAGATATTTAGATTAATAAAGAGATAAAGAAAGTTCTTAGTTCCAAAAGATCATTTGAACGATTAAGTTAATCAAAGAGAGAATATGAAATAAATATAAATAAAATTAATCAAGAGATTGATAATAGGAAAGAGCAAGGGAAATATCTGGAAAAAGAGTAAGAAAATTAGATAAAGAAAGAGAAGGATCTTAATTCAAATGGATCAGATAAAATATATAATTATAAATTGATTATTGCATTTAATAAAGAGTCATCAATTATGATTACAACCAATGATAATGATAGAGATGTTTAAGAATTCAAAGATGGATAAAGTTAATTAATTTAAACACTGAAAGGCCATGAATATGATGTTGCCGCATTATATTTTATGAAGAATTCAAATTATTTTATATCTTGAAGTAGTGATAATACTATATAATTATATGGTAATTTAAGGATAATTTATGATAAATTTAATAAAAGCTTAATGGACATAAAAATTGGATGAATCATATAATTATGAATGCTAAAGAAGATCCTATTCTATTTGCTAGCGATGATGGAACTATTTTATTTTGGGAGAAACAACATAATTAATTTAAACTAACTTAAACACATCTGATCTTTATGGGGTATTAAGTTAAAATTTGAATGATTCTCAGAATTAATCAATATCATCTAATAATGATAAATCTATATTGGTGATAGAATAATAAGGAACTGATAAAAAATGAGTTGAAATATAAAAATTTAATTAGAAGTTTATCCAAGTCAACAAGAAAAGCTAGAGAATAAATGGAATTAAAAGGAAGGTATTTTAGCTTTATAAATCAAAGAATCTCAAAATACGGAATGCATGTAATAAGAATTCCTTGATATCAAATTCGAAAAGTGATCTAATTTGCATAAAGAAAAGAAATAACATTTTGAAAAACAATCAAGAATGATCCAAAGAATAGAGAGTTGATGATATAGTTAGAAGATTTGTTCATTATACTTATCATTTCTTTAAATCAGTATAAACATATAAATTTAGACAAAAAAGTGATATTTTTGGAGTGAAAAATTCAAAACAAAGATTTTATATGTATAAATAGTGGTATCATTAATTGTTGGCATGTAGAGAGATTACTACATAGCGAATATAAAGAATCAGAGTAGCTTCATTACAAATCATAAGATTATATAGAGGTGAGTAATTAAGCTTATTAATGAAATTAAAAATATATGAGAGAAAGAGCAAAGACTGAAGAGACTATCCTAATAAAGCGAATAGATTATCAAATATTATAACATAAAGGAAACTAGAAAAAAAGAAGGGGAAATTATTTGTTTTTATCAATAAATTATTGATGCGGTTATAATAGCAAGGTGAGCCATCTCTTAAAAATAATTAAAAATTTTATTTTATATTTATTATTAACTTTAGATAAAAAAAAATTGAATAAAGTGCAAAGCCTGATCTACTTAAAGATGATTACTGGATCAAAATATTTTTTATCTTACAAGAGAAGACTAAAAAAAATATCAAATAATCAGTTTTGATTTATAAAGGCGCAAGGGATGGATTAAATATATTGGAATAAAGTGAATGGTAAAGGGAACTCACTTATGGTATTTAAATCCAAAAGTGATTATATCTTTGGAGCATACTCTCCTTGTAAATGGGAATCAAATAAGGGATATGTAGAAGATAATACATTATCATCTTTTATATTTTCATAAACTCATGATTAAGTTTATGCTTTGATGTAAGATTAGAAATAAAATGCTATTTATTGTGATAATTCAAATTATGGATCTAGATTTGGAGGTGCACCTGATATTTATATATGTAGTGATTTTACTGATGGTGGTTCTAGATTAGGTTATTCATATTAATTTAGTTAATACAAGAATCAAAATGTTGATCCATATTTGTATGGATAGGTTAAGCCAGAAATTAAAGAATGTGAGATATATGAATTGTCATTTGTTTGACAAAATATATTTAATTATTATTATTTTTTATTCTTCTTTAGAATAAAAAAACTTAAAAAAATAAAAGGGTTAATTCTAATCTTCAAATTTTACCCTAATTACCTAAAAGTCTGGATGTAATTATCGTATATAAAATTTTAAGTAAAAAATTCTAATCATCAATAATCAAAGTCTGAGTTAAATAGTTTGGTAAAGTAAAACAGCCACAAATTAAATGAATATTATATTGAACTTTGAAAATATTTATAGTTTCAATTTATTATTTTCTTTTTATGATAAAATAGAAAGCTCTTAAAAAATAAAAATTTTCAGAATTAGAAATAAAAATATATTCCCCAAAAATTATAATTTTGAAATATTTAATTCAATATTTTGGTTAAAATCGCAATCTAAGTTATTTTATCTGTAGATGCAGAATTATAATTCCTAGTTAAACTATGATGATTTTAATTTTCAGAATAGTATAAAATTTACTGAAAGATAAAAAACCTTTATTTAGGACAGAAACTTTCTTGGCTCTAAAAATTTTTAAAATAGGGCAATCTTTTTATTAAAATTTTTAGGAGAAGTCTTCGACAATTTTTCAAACGACTCATATTGTGTTTCAATATATTCATACTATTGACTACTGTCACAAGTAATTATGAAAAAAAAAAGAATAAACTTTTATTTCTCAAGCTTCCTAATGATTAATTTTAAGAGGAATATTTAAATTTTGGACAAGATACCAGTTAATTATAATTGTTCGATATCTAAGTAATTAATTTCAAAATTCTTCAAACCACTGTACAAAAAGAATTATAATATTATGCCTCTTTATTAGTGCATCTCCATTTCAGCTCTAGTTGCATATAAGACTAATCATCTAATAGGAAAATAATCTACTTAAAAATAATAGTTTATCTTACTATATTTTTTTGAAAAACTTCTAGTTCCTTATTTCTCAGAACCATCAAAAGAGCCTCTTAAATAAACTTGACTTTTAGTATTTCTTCCAACTAATTTATTAGTAATTGCATTAAATTATATAAGCCAGAAACAGCCCAAGAGATATCTAAAGTAATTGTATTTATTATTCTCCTTAATCTTTTCAATCATTATATTGTAAAATAATTAAGTTTTAAAGACATTTTAAGGATTTTCAATTAAAATTTACTTATTATTTATATTATTAAAAGGAGCTCTTGCTACTTAATTGGAAATTAGTTCTTGTTTCAGAAAGTTCACTTCTAAAGTTAGTGAATTTTGACGTATCCACTTTTATTTAATTTAATTTCAAGCACTGATCTATTGAAAACAAAGATTTTAGAAGTTATTAAGAAATAAAATATAAAGAAAAAGTATTTAAGTTGTTATTCCTATACTATTTGTAATCAGAAGTTCAATATATTCTAATTGAGTAACCTTGTCTATGTATTTATAAAAAAATTTCTACAATTATCATTTGTTTATCTTCGAGTGAGAAAAGATATCTGATCATTTACTGCATTCATCTTTTCGTAAATAATTTCTATATGACAGTAATAATGTTATTCATCCTTTAATATTGATGAAAATCTTCCAACTTTATTCATATGTATTCAATTCTCTTATTAATTGATATAATATCATGAATGACCCATATCCTTTTATTTTCGCTCCAACTACCATTATTTTATAATAATTATTTTAGATATGAATTCATTAATTATTTGTTAACTCATCTTGTATTTTTAACCATTTTGGAATTTATTCTGTAGGGCTAATATGTTAATATTATACTACCTAAACTTAATCATTAAGAACAATTTATATTGAATATGCAATGTACTGTCTTATAGAATTGATATTGATATCTCCTTATTTGATTTATAGAGAAGGAATTATTCGCGTTCTTATTTAATAATCTTTTATCATAAAATTTAATCTCCATTGCATCCCTCAATCGTGATATCTTTTATGACTTAATCTTTCTTCCTTGCCATATCGCTGCATAATGATCTATTATATCATTCCATGCATTATTTTTTTAGTTAAATGGCATCATATATATAATGTGAATTAATGTAAGCTGTTCTATATTCCCATATGAAGAATGTTGATACTCTGAATTCTCTTCCAATATTTCCTTTAAATATGAACCTCTCAAATTTTACTCTTTCTACATATTATTTTAATTATTCAGATACTTATTACCCATAATTTATATCATTCATAATTTTATTTGGTTCGCTTACTATATACTTTTACCAAGATTATATATTTTGTTCTATTATTTATACTTCCTATTCCTAATTTTCTTTTTAATTCTATTATATTGTTTTTTATTTATCTATATTTTGAATTTTTTATATTTTTATTCATAAGACTTTATTCTTCATTTGCTATCTTCTGTTATTTTAATTTAATTTATTATGTTTACAACTATATCATCTATTATTCTTTCATCTTATTTTATTCTTCTAATTCTTTGTGTTTTTCGTTTAATCTCTATTATATAATATCATCTTATTATATTTATTCTTAATCCATTCTATCTATATATGTTCCTTTTCTATTATTTCTTCTATTTCACTTTCAATATTTTTCACTTTTTTCTTCGGATTATTTTTAGTATACTAATACTTATAATCTATTTTTTCAATATTTTCAAAATATCTTTTGTATGATTACCTTACTAATTATATTTACTTTTTTTAAGTTAATGAATAATAATCTCCAAGCATTTAATAATTTTCTCTTTTAGAAGTATATGGTGTGTTAAGCCTTCTCCATCTAATACTATTAAATCTTAATCTGGGAATATCATTTGATCATCTGCATGTATTATTAATCTCCCTTTGATCATATGTCTTAATATTTCCACAATTTCATTATTATTTTAAATAATTTATAAAATCTGATAATTTCTGATAAGATATTCCTAATAATTTTTTTTTAAATTAAAAAAAAAATCCTCCCGTCTAACCTTATCTATTGTCACTTATATTGATTCATCTGATATTATCTATTTGATCCATTTTTAGTTTATTCTTAAATTGAGTCCTGTTTCTTAACATATACTTTCAATCATATTTAACAGTCTTCTTTCATTCTATCTCTACTCTAGAAACGCTATACTTATTTAATTTGCTACTAATTTTTCTTTTTATCATATAGACTACGACTTAAGTCGTTCATCTAGAAAATAAAATTAAATATTCTTGT